ATGTTGCTTTTAAAAGTAATTAGATGAAATAAAAATACCGACCTCCGGATGTCGCTTTAATTAATAGTAATTAGATGAAATAAAAAAATAAAAATACTGACCTCATGAGGTGGGTATTTTAATTACATACTACCGACATTCGGAAGTCGGTATTATAAAATATTTAATTGAGAAAAAATTCCGACATCAGGAGGTCGGAATTGTTAATGAATTACAATAAAAACCGACCTCTTGATGTCGGTATTATTTTCTCAATTAAATATAAAAAAATACCGACCTCATGAGGTCGGTATTTTTTTATATTTAATTGAGAAAATAATACCGACATCAAGAGGTCGGTTTTTATTGTAATTCATTTTTTCCGGGAAAAATTCTGACCTCCAGAGGTCGGAATTTGGTTTTCCCGCTTTATTTTGCATAAAAACCGACTACTTGTAAAATACCGACCTCCGGAGGTCGGAAATTTTTAGGTCGGTATTCACTGTTTTTTTAGTAGTGTTTTTTTTGTTTATGTGGATGACTTAAATTTCCACCAAATTTGTAACTCCATGGTTTAAAGTTTAAAGAAGTCCATGATGGTGGAATTTGATATGATTGATATTGGAATGATGCATTATTTTCTGGGCATTGAAGTTGTTCAATATGCTTATGGGATTTTCATCATACAAAAAAAGTATGTTAAAGAGATTCTGGACAGATTTCAGATGAAGAGTTGTAACTCTACCAGGAGTCCCACTGAGTTCAGTTTGAAGCTCATGAAAGAACTTGGAGAAAAAAGAGTAGACAACACTCTTTATAAGAAAATAGTGGGAATTTTGGTGTATTTAACGGCCAGAAGACCTGAAATTATGGATGTTGCAAGTCTCATTAGTAGATACATAGAACATCCCAACGAGATGCATCTTCTAGCCGCAAAGAAATTTTTTTTGCTACTTGCAAGGAACTACTAATTATAGTCTGTTTTACACGAAAGGAGAAAAATCAGACTTGATTTGCTTTATTACAGTGATTATTCTTGAGATCTGATGATCGGAAGAATACATTTGGTTATGTCTTTATGATGGGGTCGGGAGAGATTTCATGGTCTTCACAAAAGCAATCAATTGTGACTTTATCAACTACAGAAGCTAAATTTGTAGCAGCAGCAGGATGTGCCTGTCAAGCAATTTGGATGCACAAGGTTCTTGAAGAATTTCATTTCAAGCAGAATTACCTTTACAACCATTCATTGTGACAGCAGTTCAACAATACAGCTCTCCAAAAATGTTGTTCAACATGTGTGAACTGAACTTCAGGGACCTCACAAAAGAGAGAGTAATCGATCTCATCTTCTGCAGAAGTGAAAGTTAGATTGCTGATGTTTTTACCAAATCTCTGAAGTTGGCATCCTTCCTGAAGTTCAGAAAATTACTTGGTACTTGCACTTTAGAAAATCACATTTGAAACAAGTTGTCAGTTGCAAGCATGATAAACTGATAGTGTGACTTTCCTTTTAAAGGAGGGATTGTTGGTTATTGTTTTTTATCTTGCAGTTGTTAGTACTTTTTAGTTGATCGAGTATTTAGCAAGAAAGTAGTTTGCTGAATAAAAGTAGCAGCATTTTTTATGATTATTAGTAGTTGAGTGATAGTAGGAAATAGTGGACTACTATCGATTTATGTTAGTAAAACTCTATTTAAAGAGTTCAATTGCTGTAATTTAGGTGTATGAGAATTTTAGCCTATTGAATAGAGTCAAAAGTATATTTACTCTCCTAAATTATTAGTCTCTGCTTTATCCATCAATAATCTCATACAATACAGGGTATTCTCAAGAAGTATTACAAGGCAACATAGTGAAGGACGATCATCAGAAAAAGAAGATATACAGAAACAGAGAGGTACAGAGAGAGTGGGTTGATAGGAAAGGACGCTCTTATCATTTTCAGTATGCTTCGCCCATCGCGACTTTCTTGCTCCAGTGAGACTTCATTTAGGTCTTGGCTTCTGTTAATCTGAGAGTGAGAATGATCTACTAGTGCTGGCAATGATGTAACTTTTCCTTGTTGATCTAAATATAGCAAATGAATCCCTATCTTCTTTACTGTAATATATTTACTCAACTCAAAGAGTTCCATCTTTTCACCTCCTTTGATCGCACCTTCAAAAGGTGTGTCTAAGTAAGATCTGTGAAGTACACATGATAGTTCCATGTGCTCAGCAGGTATGACATTATCATAACGCGAGAAGACACCTGAAAACATTTCTCCGGAAATACTAAACCCAAAGCCTTGCCATGGACCAGAAGAGGGTACTTTGACAAGTTCACGAACACACCAGACAATCATTCCTAAAAACTGATACTCCTTATTATGTGTCGGCATAGTGAACGAGATAGATGAAGCTGTTACTTGATTGCTGCACCAATCTGGAATCTCATTGCTTTGAAGATAAATTTCTATGCCCTTCATCAGAAGAAGACGAACGATTATTACTATGACAGGAAAGAGAGAGAGAGAGAGAGAAAGAGAGAGAGCCTAACCAGATGTGGATATTCTCTAGATGGAAATGCTAGAGCAGGTGCACTAAAGAAGCCTTCTTTGAATGGATTCTGCAGTGAAGTACAATTAAGCATGTTGATCCGCTCTATAGAAGGGAGATTTTCTAGCCCTGTAATGTTGACCAACTTCCTGCAATTTGCAACTTCAAAAGTCCGAAGGTATTTTAAATTAGATACTGATGGGAGTGTTTCAAGATCCTCACAGTCATTCAAATTCAATGAACACAACAATTGTAACTCAGAAAAGTCAAAAGGTAGACAGCGAAAGCTGTTGCCACTCAAATTTAGATAAGTTAAGTTGTATAATTTCCCTATATCCCTAGGTATATCAGTCTCGGAGAAGCCACAATATATAAGACTTAAACACGAAAGAGAAGTCGACAAGGATTGTATCCAATGGACTCGTCTTCCAAGAGATCTCCTTTTGCCTTGCAAATTTTCACCTCCCACTTTCAATGATTCAAGATGTCTTGGCATTTCAACAAACCCGTGCCATTGTTTTATATCCGTTTCAAGTGCAGAAAGAGTTCTTAGACCTGGCATAACTCCAAAGTCAACCGGCAGTGTTTTTATATATGAGCAGCCACTAATGTCCAACCATCCAAGGGATTTTAGTTGACATATACTACTCGGAGGATCCATAAGCTTTTTGCAACCACGCAAATTTAGAAGTCTTAGTCTGCACAAATTTCCTATTGATGGATGGATCTTTCTCAGACTTGAGCAACCATTTAGCAACAAAAACTCAAGACTTTGTAAACCGTTGAAGTTCGGAGTTCTTTTGAGACTCTTGCAATCAGAAAGATCCAACCTCTTCAAACTTTTACAACACTAGAAGCAAACCAAATATAGATTCAAGTAAGATTTTGTTTCACTCAGTTGCAATAATAGTACACATGATATTGTAGAATAGAGTAACAAACCTGCAGATTCAAACCAAACTCTTGGATATCACTCTTCCGCATATCTATTACGACAAGATTCTTAGCTGGAAAATTTGATGGTATATATTTTAAAGGACAATTTTGCCAAGATAACCATCTGAGCTCCTTGGACAATAGCTCAAAATCTCCACTAATATGTAACTTTTCAATTATAAGCACCCTAAGATTTTTCATTTTCTTAAATGCCATGGTGCTCAAGTTCACTCCCTTTAATGTCCATCGATCTACCTTCAGCACTTGGACTTTTTTGGAACCCTGTAGTTCAATAAAAGAAATCGTAAGACCATGTTAAGTCGTAGAAATTAAGAGGAAAAAAATGTCTTATATAAATTGGTGGAGAATTACTAACTTTATTTCCTTGTAAAACATAGCAGACTTCTTGAGGGATGACCAATCTACTCCGTTTTCCCGGGTCTCGGGGTGATTCCATGCGAACGATTTCTCTTCCCATGGCTCGCACTAGATCATGCATCACTAAGCGATGCCAAGCCCTATGGAGCAAGTGTTTTTGGACTAAAGTTGCAATTGCACTTTCAGAATAAAAACCACACGCATTTAGTATTTTGGTAACTTCATCCTCAAAGAATCCATGGAAGGCGCATGCAATATCAAGGAAAACACTTTGAGTATCATAATCAAGTCCGTCAAAGCTTATCTTGAGAATCTTTTGAATATCACTATGAGGAATTGCTCTTAGTTTAACGAATTCATGTCTCCATTCTTCTACCGATCTTCCTCGCAAATGTGACCCCAATGTCACAAGAGCTAATGGCAGACCACCTGAATATTTGATTATTTCTTGTGACAACTCAACATACTCATGTGGTGGAAAAAAACTATTAAAGGCACGACAACTAAAGAGTTGCATAGCTTCATTGTCATATAAAAGTTTGGCCTTGAATTTTTCTTTTGTTGTAAGCCCACATAGCAAATGCTTGTCTCGGGTTGTAACAATTATTAAACTACCCGAACCAAACCAATTTCTTTCTCTTATTAAGGATTCTAATTGGCTTATATGGTCCACATCATCAAGAACAATCAGAACTTTCATTGACCCTAGTCTTGCTTTGATTAAACTAACGCCTTCAGCAACATCATTAACTTCGAAATCCTTAGTTTTTAGGATTTGATGAAGAAGTTTTTCTTGTAACTTGACTAGACCATTAAATGTGCCAGCTTCTGATCTAACATTTGAAAGGAAACAACTACTACCGAAGTGTCGACATATTTGGTTGTAGAAAGCTTTAGCAAGAGTAGTTTTTCCAATTCCACCAATGCCATATATACCAATCATCCGAACGTCTTCTTGACATCCACTTTTGAATAACAACTCTATTAGATCTTTGATACTAGAATCAATTCCAACAGGGTAACAAGCAACATCTAGAGATGTCTGGCTTACCTCTTGTAAGACTCGCTTTATAATACTTTCAATTAATTCTGATTCATGCCTACAAATTTTTAGCAAAAATAAAAATAAATGAATTTGTATCACATCGTATAAACAAAGGTCAAATTAAAGATAAAATTAAATAGTTGAATCAAGAAATAGTACCCATAAACAACATTTCGCGAATCCCATCCAGATAAATTTGCAACTTTAGTAAGTGCAGTTTTCCACTTCTCCGTTCTTTGTGCCCCAAATCGTCTAGTCAAAGATTCATCAAAATATCCAATTGGGTTGCGTACTTGAGAAGGATCAACATCATAAAATATAGGCAAAACAACCTTCTTCAACGTCTCTCTGCATTCGAGAATTTTAACAAGTTCTTCAAGACACCAACTAGATGAAGCATATTTTTTCGAGAAAACAACAATGGAAACTCTAGATTGTTCAATTGCTTTTTCAAGTTCCGTTGAAATGACCTCGCCCTTCCTCACTTCCTCATCATCTATAAAGGTACAAATTCCAACTTGACACAATCGAAATTTAAGATGACTGATGAAGTTTTTTCGAGTATCTTCACCACTGAAACTTAGAAATACATCGTACCTCCATTGGAAAGAATTAGATGATTCTCCTTCAACAAATAGAGTATGCATAGATGAGAATATAGTAAATTTCTTGATGCATAGATGGTACAGAATTGACATTAGGTGGCATGAGAAGGGATGTAGTTATAGCATATTTTAAGGAAATGATCATAAATTTCAACACTTTGCCGTCCAAATCTATAGCTAGAGTTGGATCAAATTTTAAGAAGAAGCACATATGAGTTGAATCAAATTAATAACAAAGAGAACTTCTCAATTTCATTGGTTGACCTTAGGATATATCTAGCAAAAAAGACTTTATCCAACATTTTTTTATTCTTGCGTCTGTTCAAACACTTTCATCCATGGATACGTTACTTTTTATTTAATAGATGACTTGTCAACCAATGAAATTGAGAAGTTCTCTTTGTTATTAATTTGATTCAACTCATATGTGCTTCTTCTTAAAATTTGTCCAACTCTAGCTATAGATTTGGACGGCAAAGTGTTGAAATTTATGATCATTTCCTTAAAATATGCTATAACTACATCCCTTCTCATGCCACCTAATGTCAATTCTGTAAACAAAAGCCAAAAAATCCAATAGTTGCTTCTTCAATTGGACAGTTTCTATTTTCAACCAAACTTTTAATCAATTCTTGGAGATTACTTTATTACACAACGAATATTGTTTATCACAAATTTCATGTTGAAGTATTCTACTTGTCTATAAAATTTTACAACTTCTGACTTTCCATCATTTTTAAAAATACTAAAAACTATGTCATGATGTTCCACATACATTGCTAATACTTGAGCCTTTATTAATCATTACATTGTTTAGATACATACACATACAAGGATATAATTGTTGAGATATACTATGTGATTTAAGTTATAATGTTATGTCTTCATTTCAGGTAAATAATTTATTATATTTAATTTAATAAATGTTATAAAATAAAGATAATGACTACAATTATGAATAAAGATAGAAGAAAAGATAGTAAGTGCAACATTTTTTTTTCCACATACTATTGTCTTATGTTATGTTATAAAAAGAGGAATATATATATATATATATATACATGTATATATATATATATATATGTAAATATATATATATAAATATATATATATATTTTGGGCATCAAGTATATTATATGGATATCTATTTGTCATGCATACACTTAGGCACCAAGTATATTATATGGGTGGCTAGTTTACAACGCATGGTATGTTGTTTGTATATCCATTTTACACAAGATGTATATTGTGTGTACATTAATGTTACAACATAAAGTATATTTATGTGGACATCCTTTTTACAACACTCCCTCTTGATGTCCATATAAAAGAAAAATTTAAGTGAAAGAAAAAGTATAGTAATACCTTTGTTTGTTTCCTCATTAAAATCCTTTACCAAGAAAAGTTATTTGTATAAAATCTTGGTTAAGGGAAATAGAGTGCAACACGTATTTACTTTCTCTGAGAAAGACATCACTTAACTTCTTGAAGATGACGTATTCTAATCTTGTACCTCGTCCTCTCAAAGGTTCAGTTGATAATGCCCCGGTGAATATATATGTTAAATTAAGATTTGAACTAACTTTTTGAGCATTGATTTCATCCTTCTTTTTAAAATCACGAGTAAGACAAAGAACTTCGACGAAATATATTTTATTTTGTCTCCTTTGATGTGGCTTCCTCCTAATTGAGTTATACATGCAACATTGTCTTCATATATTGTTGTTGGAATATCTCTTTTCAAAGGAAGGTCACATATTTTGTGGATGTGTTAAGTTATTGATCTCAACCAAATATATTTCAGTTCTTGACCTTATCGATGTAGACAATTGCTCGTTTGATTTGTTAGTAGCAATAGCGTCCACGCATTGACGAAGACTTTCAATAAAATTGGTTTTCTTATGTGATATGACACTGTTTCCACATGATAACATAAAACTTTCTTGAGATCAAACTTCATATACATCAATTAATTTCCTGTCATTTCATAATCAATAAACCTTGACACGATTGATCAGAATAAACAATTTCTATCGATACTTGATTCACTCAAATAAAGAGTGATGTTATATTTTGCATGCACATTAATAAAATTATCATACCATGAATAATAATAGTAGGACACATAAGTGTACCAATTGCTCTATGATATGGTTCTTTCTAACCATTTTAATGAGATAGAAATTGATCTTTATGGTAAGCAACCGCACAACCATTGAGGTACTATTCAATTGAGTCGCTTTAAAACCTTTTAAATCCTTTAGGGATTTTTATATAATAGTTACTGTCTAGCAAGACATGATAGTCATCATTATATGTATTCAAGTTTTTCTTTTATTTGTCAGACTGCAAGAAACTTCATTTCATCCACTGTAAGTGAACACCTCTCCATACAATAATGAGAGGAGTCATATGAAAATTTGGTATGCCCTAAAGCACAAACCGTACTTTATATCTTATAGATTTACTTGTCGAACAATAACTCATTCGTACCCCACTAAATATACTTGAATTTCAAGAGTCCAGCAAAGGCTCTCGAGTGCCGGCCACGTCCAGGGTCTAGGCTCGGGGCATGACAAACTTGGTATCAGAGCACAGAGTTCAAAAGTCCTAGGGTGTCTATGAAGTCGTGTCTAGAAGAGTACTTCTTATCGGTGTGAAGCGTGCCACATCTATAATGAGGAAGCTACGACATATAGCAACTTTTCACTTTCTTCTTACTCCCGTATGTACAATAAAGTTCAACTATATAAAAGTTTCTTCTATCGTGTGTATGTGTGTCTTTTCAAATCATGCCTCCACAAGGAGCTGTTCGAAGACGTCCTGCTAGGAGGAATTCTAATCTCAAAGCTCAAGAAACTCATAATGCACCAAAAGTGCAACCCCCTTAGGGAGATGTCACCAAAGTTTGAGTTCAAAGAATGCTATTCAGATGTTTACTCAGGTTGTGAAAAATAGGCTGGTCAACAAGGAGTGGATCATCAGGATGTGTCTGATACGTCCAGAATCCGTGAGCTTTTTGAGGATGAATCCCCTAGAATTCACAAGGTCGTAGATCAATTGAGGATCTGAAGAACTTTGTGGAAGAGCTTCAGAAAGTGTTTGAGGTCATGTGTGTTGCTGATACAGAGTGTATGGAGTTAGCCTCATATCAGCTTAAAAGGGTTTCAAGGATATGGTACGATCAATGGAAGAAGAGCATGGCAGAGAGAACACCACTTTTGAGTTGGGATGTATTTGAGAATGTTTTCTTAGGGCGTTCTTTTTCCCGAGAGATAAGGGAAGCTAAGGTGAGGGAGTTCTTAAATCTGAAATAGGGAGTTATGATTGTGCAGGAGTACAACCTCAAGTTTACTCAGCTATCCCTCTATTCTCTAGAAATGATGGCGGATATGAGGATCGGGATGAGTTTGTTCGTGTTGGGGCTATCCCGCTTATCGAGTAAGGAAGGTAAGGCTTTTTGTTTCTAATTTTGGGCTTTATTTAGAATCAGAACAAACACAGTACATGAGCAACAACCTTGATTTGCCTGTCCATAATCCACATAACACAAATAAAATGAAACATATTTCCTTATCTCTAGGGTTTCCTAATTAGCAACTTTTCTTCTTCTCTACAACTCTTCCTGAGATAATGGCTTCCTTTTTTAACTCACATCTAGTGCTTGTTTTGTTCTGCATCATCAATAATTTTCCTAATTCTTGCTTCTCATTTTCGAATTAGCATTCAAATTTTCTTCCATACTTATCTTCTTTGTTTTAGTTGAGCTCTTCGGTGGACCTTTGTGTTTTGCTGATGGTTTACATTCATTCTTTGTTGGGTAGAATCTTTGTTCTCCTCTCGATATCTCTTTGTTTAACCCTTAGTTCTGATCCTCTATTCTTGCAAGTGTAGTTGGTATGAAGATATTGGGATGCTTGACCCCTTTATGTCCATTAGCGATGAAGATATGTTCCAGGTGCTCTAACTTTCTTATTATATCAAAAGTTCTAGTGTTGTCTTCTCAAACTACACAAAAAATTGTGAAGAATTTTAAATGAGATATGTGTTTTCTTATGTGTAACTAATTCTAAAGGTATTGTATCATCTTCAACTTAATTCATCATCAATATTGTTTTCTCCGAATAAAATATAATTTTATATTAAATAAAAATTTAAAAAACATAAAATTTTATATCACATGAAAATTATATAAAGTGATTATTTGGGAAAAAGAAAGAAAGAAATTATATTATAAAATAAGAAATTAAGAATGAAATAGAAATTAGAATATAATATTAAGGAGAGATAAGAAGATTCTTTTTAGAGAGTAAAATAGAAAATTAGATTGTAGTTGGTTGTCTCAAAAAATAAAGAACTTTATATTTGGAATGTCTTAGACCTCGAAATATGTATCATTTTTACATGGATAATCTAACATAATATTGACATTCGTTATTATTAAAATAAGAGAAAACACATATGTAACACCCCGAAAATTTCTAAGTTAAGTCCAAACCATTCTTGAATTGTGTATAAGGTCGTACTGAGTGACTCTTAATTTTTCTTGGTTTTAAGGTAAATTCTTTAGTGTGGGAATTATTTTGGATATCAATTAAGGTCACTAGAATCTCCTAGAACAAAGTTGAGTTGAAAGTTTCCTTACAGATTAAACTTTGAGGTAAGATTCTACTTAGGTCAACTTCAAACGACCATATCTCTTAGAATATGATGATTTACGTGGCCCATGACCTATCAAATTAAAGGTCTTTGAATTATCTTTCCAACGCCACCAAGTTTACGCCATTCTTTGTTTGGAGTAGAGAGTTATGATCAGTTTACTAAATAATGTAGTGCAGTTCCGTTTTAGCCGCAGGAAAATTCTAAATAAGGTAATTTTCTTCTCCTTATACCACTAGGAAAACCTTTAAAATGGATTTCTTAACTCCTATAAAGCCCTAAACAATTCTATTTCCATTTTCTTAATTCCTTTTTCTCCTCTCTGAAACCCTAATACAAAATTCTAAGGAATATCAAAGCATAAGACTTCCAAGCAAGATTCT